TATATATATATATATATATAGATATAGATATATATAAAATAATAATAAAGAAAAAAAATAAAGAAAAAATAAGTTGAACTTCCGCGTTGAAGAACGAGAGAAATAAACGAGGTCCGAGTAGAAAACCACAGCGACACCTAATGGCCAGAAAGCGCTACAACGCTATACTTTGCTTAGGAAAACAAAGAGCAGCTTTAAACCTTCCCCTTTCTCAGTTTTATTTAAACAAGGATAATAGCAAATCCTCTAATCAGGAAGATTTTTACATATATATTCTCAACAAAAAATAAATTAATGCTCATAGCAGCATTAGTATAAGGATGTCATGCTATGATGACAGCTTTTTTGACTTACCATCTGACCTCTGACCTCTGATCCAGCAAGGCGCCCTGAAACAACTGATGTATTCTCTTGAAATGCTAGGAAAAGTAAGCAGAGGAGGCAGATGGAGAAAACCCACCTACTGCTGAGACAACAGTAACAACATGGAAGATAAAGTTACCAAAGTGCCACAGAAAGCAGCTGCACATCTGTTTCTGGTTACAAAGAGCAAAGACTTGGGAGATGAGAGCAGGTTTAACAAAGGGGCCTTGTTTGGTTCAATATAGCCCTAAACTTGAAGATTTGGTTTAATAATTATAGACCAAGTTAAGCTCAATTAAATGTTAAAAAAAAAAAAGGTTCTGAACACATTCACTCAAATCCTGCTTTGCAATTTAGGGGTTATTTAACAAGTCTCCAGTTAAATATTAAACCTCCATAGTTACAGAGCGTCTCTTGGCTGATTTAAACTTCTCTGCAGCTGCATATTTGGAAACCTGTTCCTTTATTTTAATCATGCTTCTAGTTTTTTAATGGTCTCCTTTCTCTTCAACCCTCCAAGGCCTTCATGAAACAACTTGATTTATTCGGAGGAATTGATTTCAATTTATCCCTTTTGTATACTGTAATTAGGTATTTTTTTACGGCAATTATTTATCCTAGGTTTCTTGGGGAGGCTTTAATAGTTACAATTTTACAATAATCAATTTCTTACTTAACTGACTGCACTTTTAAAATACATTTTAAATTAGGAAACAACAAAAAATGCTCTGAAAAGCCACTGGTTTTTCATCTTTCATGCCAAATATATAGTTTTGGCTCAACTGTTTTGAGTGGGTTGTTTTTAGTAAAAAGCATTTTAAGTCTGTATATTCCAGGTAGCGATTAGTCAATGGCTCAATTAGTTATCTAGTCCGATAATCGATTAATTCGATTATTTTTTAGATCTACTCCAGAATTCATATACACATCACTTTTCACTTTTGTAGTCAATATTCTAACATGCACAATTTTACTTTATGTTGATGCAAAATACACTGAAGTTTCTGGCTGCAATAAGAGTACATTTGAAGTGGCATGGATCAGTGTTGTATTTGTGAGTTAAGATTATATTCTTTGTTATAAAAAAAAGTATTCAAATCATCTAGAAAATGGTCATTAAAAAGTTTAAAACAACTTAAGACAGCATTAGAATCATACTGCTATATTTACTTTCTACTAGCTCTAGTTTTGAGATTGCAAACAGATTCCAATGGGGAATAATGAAGTGATTCTGGTGACTCAAAATGATGCTTAATGCGTTCAAATGTAAAACAAAATATGTGCTAAAACTAAGATTTCTTTACGCCAGTGTAGACAACCCCCCACTCCATTAAAGAAACATGCCTGTTAGAACAGAGTCAAGGTTTATTTGACTTTTATTATCATCTTACAATGGAAAAGCAACTGGCAATTATCTCCAACTCTACTTCCTTTCACATAGTGTAGCTCTTTATCTCTAGGTGATTAATGCAGAATTTTCTTAAAAAAAAAAAAAATCTTCAATGAAATCTGTACAATGGGAAGAAAAACAAAATTACCTTAATGCATTAATGTAATGAAAGCAAACAGCAGGAACCAAATTTTAGTGCAGTATTGAAAACCTGTTCAGATCCCGACACACAAAAAAATAAATGTAAATGAGCGAAACACGTGCTCAAGTGTTCGGACTCCTGGTCTAAGACACAAAAGGACACATTTAAGAGGTGTGCATTGCAGGAAACACAAGAAGGCAGGCGATTGAGAATAAAATCCACCAGTTCACTTTTTGTTCTGTAGGAAACAAAAGGCAGACGATAACCAGTCTTCAAAATTTACTGTCGAAGGAAATTCAACTCGAACCTCTCCTAAAGCACCCCCCCCTTTATGGAAGATTTTAGTGAGTATGACATTGTGCAATGTTTTCACTGGAAAAATGGAAGGGCAACACTGAGGAGGACTCATAAGGAAATCACACAAATCGTATAAAGGGAAGAACTCAACCCAACCCAAGCACAACCAGCTGAAAAGGTCCCATTTCTTAATTACCTTCAAATATTAACAGGTTTCACAATCAAGTCATTTAATAAATATACCTCCATAAATTTCTTCAAAAAATAAACACAAAAAAAAGAGCACCCTCGCCAATTAAACCATACAAAGCATAAAACTGTAAAAGAACGGCTGGAGATGGGCCTAAAACCAGCAAACAGACATACTGGAAGGATTTGAACCAGTTAGGAGTGTTGAGCTACAGAAGCCAAGGGCAGACTTTGGTCAAGATATTTCCTGCAAATTGTGAGAACATGAAAAATGTGTTTTCTCCTTCCATCAGTGCTTTTCTTCAAAGAGGGAAAAACGGGGAGAAAAAAAGGACTGTGTGAGCAAAAGCAAAGACGGGAAAGTTCAGATAAATAACACTAACATCCAGCATTGGGTGGGATAAGTAAGGAAAAACAAGCCAAATCCAACCAATTAAAAACAAAAATGAACAGGAAAAGTTTTAATAGAAAACTAAGCCTTTATTTTGGCAGCTAATTTTTCTTTTTACTAGAACAGTGAAAATATTTTTCAAACCACCAATTTCTGATTAAATAGGACATTTAAAATTGGGTAATATGGCCCCTTTCAGACCAAAAAAAAAAAAAAAAAATCCCAACATACATGAACCTGACCGACGAGCCACCATTTTTAATGTCCTTCAGCACACGTTGGCAGTACAGACGCAAACAACCACTTGCATTCAGACACACAAATACACTCAATACTGGTAGTGTGATCCAATTGGTGAAATCTGCATGAGGGGAAGGACAGGACGAGGTGTTTAGGGTGTGGACGATCACAAACGCAGCAGCTGTTTAATTGCATGAGGGCGGGTGGAGAGGGAGCGATACAGTGAGAAGGTCCATGTCCCGTTGTACCAGCCGAGCGACGGGTCCTTTAGCCCCATGGTCCCGCCGAGCGGGAGCGGCAGGAAGGAGGAACGAAAGGATGACGGGAACGCTCCGTTTGACTGTTATCCCAAGAAGCTTGCCAAGTTCTTCACAGAGAACTCTTTCACCCCTTCCATCACTTAGAAAACCATAGCAGCAGGTTGAGCTCAAAGTTCTCCCTCCATGAGAACTATAGAGACAAAAATAACAAAACAAAAATACAATTCCCTGCAATCCACATGAAAAGCAAGCTATGGAGAATTGAGTGTTCTGGGAAGCGTCAGATGTCTTTTCTGTGTTCTTCTTCCCCGTCCTCCATGTCAATAGCCCATAAACTTTCAGTCAAACATTGTCTTCTGTCATTAAGTCTCTTATCAGCGAGTTCACGTTCACCCCCCACCTCCCACAAATCTAACCCCCCCTCGTTGACCCTCCTCTCGCAGTCGAGGGTGACGATTGATCACCGCTCTGGCTCCGACTCCAGCGCCAGAACCCGCTTGCGCTCGCGACACTGCTTCTTGTGGGCAGGCCAGTCCCTCTGCTGACACTGGGAGCCGCAGTAGCGAGCTACCTGGCAGCGCCCGCAGATGTTAAACTCTCGCAACTGCGGAAAGAAGGGGATAAAAATCAATATTTTATCTGCAGATCCTTTTAATCTCTCCTATAATATTTAACTTGCTCACAGAACGTGCAGTACTTTGCAAAATTACAACCTGAAACGTATTAAACAAATTCAGATCTAGAGCAATCAGTCAATAACTTTGTGCAAGCTTAGGGTGTTCTTAGCATACCCCAGCTTTAATCAACTCGATATATTTAACTCTGACCCCTTTGGCACTTCCAGTAGCCTCTCCATTTCTTTTTCAAAGTGTATTATATAAAATGAGGGTTTTTGGTGTCAAAACACAAAAAGTGAATAATTCTGCAAAATCCTATACATTCCACAAAGCAAAACAATACAGACCAAATTCAAAACTTAGCCTTTAACACATACCCTCCTCTCAATGAGTGAACAAGGGGGATAATGACACTCATAGTATGTACAGGAACACTCCTCTTCCTCCACTAGCTCCCCGTTAGCATTATAGTAGCGTGTGCGGCTCAGCTCCAGGTACTGCTCCTCCACAGGATCAGCAGGGACCTGCTGGATGGCCAGCCAGTACAGGGACTGCTCCCTGGACACCAGAACATCAGATGTTATAGTTAAAACAGCAACACGGTTGTTTGATGCATTGTTGTACCGGCTATTGAGTGAAGCATACTTTACCTCTGCTTGCTGGAAATCTCTTCCGGCTTGGGGCTCCAGCCCACCGGTACCAGTCGTAGGTTGTCTAGCCGGTTGTCCACAGTCACAGAGTTGATATGGATAACTTGAAAAGTAGGAGCAATGCCTCCTCTGTGCTTCTCCCTGGAAAAAGACCAACAGATTGATTTTTCCACCAGTACAAAAACAGCAAAAATCCTCCCCTTTATCCAGAAGAGGCTCAATAAAAATATCTTAATTCCAAGTTTTAAATACAGTGGGGGGAAATAAGTATCTGGTCAGCCATTGATTGAGCAAATTAAGCTGTGTATGGTCAAATTTAAAGCCAAAACCTCTTTCCATCAAAGCAATAAATATGGAACATGGCTGGGTGTGCCAGCGTAATACTGATCCCAAACACAGACTCAAGACCCTAGAGCCTTAAAGGCTCATTATGCTCGATGCAAGGACATTCCGGCGGAAAAAGAGCCGCCCCCAACGGCGGCTGCGCCATTTATACTCTGTGCGGCTTTCCCTCTGTTCTGGACGACTCCAGGGGGGCGTGTTCAACACAAGCTTCAAGCTGAGAAGACCACACTACACGAGGAAGTAGAAAACACAGCCGTTTACAATGTTATCAAAGCCTCTTAATGCCGTTAGAGGGCGACAGTCATTTCTTTCCTGGAGTTTTTTTTCCACAATATGTTGATAGTGGTGACATTTATGAGCTGAATCATGGGATGTCTTTGGATACATTTGCAAACCCTCACAAGCAGGAGCTGCAGCTCCCTCGCCATGTTTTACGGATCCGTCGAAGTAGTTACAGATTTCCCTTGGTGCGTGGAAGCCTAAAATGATGTACTTTGGTGGCGCGGGCGCATCAAGCATGAATCAAGCTATTAACTTTCATCTCCATCCACAAATTTTGTGCTACCCAAAAGCCTCACAGCTCTAGATCTGATGAAGGGATGGACCAAAATACCAGCTACAGTGTTTGTAAACCTGTCAACAAATGTTATGCTACAAAGGATTGAATTAAACTTTAGTTACTGATAAAGTAGTTATTTTCCACCCTAATTAGGCCTTGTCCACAAGTAGCTGAATATCTGGGAGAAATTAAGACATTTTGGATGCAGTTAGGATTTTCAGCCGCACACAAAGGGCCCTTAAAACAGGTGATTCTGAACGCACCGGCCAAAGAGGACATTTAATAACAATTTTGATTAATGGTATGTCCATGAACGGATGCTATATTATTGATGATTTTAATGTCTGGCGCATCACGGCCTACAAATATTTCTCCACTGCATGACCATTATTCATACTTCGCCAGGTGGAGTTATAAATGAATTTCATTGGAATTTCTGATTTTCCCTTCACACTTTTTGTTTGTATTTGTTATCTATGATCCCTGATGTTGAACTATGAGTCAGTCCCGATAGGAAGTCATGGTTGTGTTGAAGGACTCTGACTGGCTGAAAAATTTTGTTTTTGCAACAGAGTGCACACATTGAGTAAAAAAAAAAAAACATTTGTTTTAACATGCTGCAAAAACATCCTAAAAAATTTGTAGAAATGTCTTAAAATAAACGTATTAATTTTAATTTTAGATTATTATGATGTTTGGGTATTATGCAGTTGTAAAAGAGACTGCGGTGGTTTTTAAATATAAATTATATATTCTATTGGCAATTCTGCTCAATTCAAGAGAAGAAAAAAAATCACTTAAAGAAAAAAGGACTTATTTAGATTCACATTTTTTGCTTTGCAATAGTTATTTTCTTTGATAGTAGAGGTGGACCTATGTCTTTGATAGTAGAGGTGGACCTATGATGAACATAACAGACCTCTCATGAGTAGGTGGACCTGCACAGCGGTAGTACCCACTGTATTATAAATAACCAGATATGAATACGTTGCTTTAAAAAAAAGTGTAAAGATCTAATTTGACTTTCAGCGAACCTCTAATGTAGTAAATGTTGATTCTTGTTTTTCACTAGTAGTGGAATCGGGGATCAGTATGAGGTTGATTAAACCATTAAATGACGCAAAAGCCGAAACAATAAGAACTGTACCAAAGTGCACATATCAGCCAGTTGTTTTAGACTGAAACTCGAAAAACAGATTGTATTTTACATTACCTAGATAAGAGTATTTTCTTTCCATGCAGCACAAAATAAAGGTCATCATCCAGACATAACTAAATATTGTAAGGACAGATTATTTAGAAATTCACATTTTGTTCTTTTAGATAATGGACTCAGATATGAAGTCTGCATATAATTCAAGACTGGCTTCAAAATGTTAAAACTAGTGATTCAAAGTATCTCAAATTGAACATTTAAAGGCCATATTAGAGTCCTGCAACGGGTCGGGTACCCGACGGGTCACCCGCAAAAACTTTTGCGGGTGAAAAATACATACATAAAAATAAACGGGTCGGGCGGATATTTTTTTTAGTGCGGGCGGGTAGTTGGTGATTTTTTTTTTTTTATGCGTGTCTATTGTTATGGACATCAGAAATGTTATATTAATCAGGCAGTGTCTGGGGTCACCCTTGTAGCTTAAAGCCCTGCCGGCAGTGTGGGCTTCCCTCCAAAAAGGCCACAGTCAGTGCATACACGTCTGCTGTAGTGTTAATGGCGCTGTTCCGCAGCGCAGCGTACTATAGCCTATTACTTGATGTGTTAACGGGTCGGGTTGCGGGTTAAATATCAACGGGTCGGGTCGGGTTCGGATTTGAATTGAAGATATCCGCGGGTGACGGATCAGGTTCGGTAGTCATCCTAACGGGTTCGGGCGGGTGCGGGTTGGTAAAACTCGACCCGTGCAGGACTCTAGGCCATATTATCTGGATAAATTTGGAAAATGACTGTTTTATGGGAAAGTTGTCGTTTTTTTATTTGAACTGAAAGGTTGTTTTAATTGGAAAATAGATGATCCTGGAAATTCCATGTATCCATTTTTCGTCATGCTTATAAATGTGGTTGCAAGGGGTGCTGGTGTCCATCTCCAACTGTCTACTTGTGAGAGCCGCGGTACACCCTGGACGGGTCGCCAGTCCATCGCAGGGAAACGCAGAGACAAACAGGACAAGCGACCATTCACACACACACACCCTAAGGAGAATTTAGAGAGGCCAATAAACCTAACAGTCATGTTTTTGGAGTGTGGGAGGAAGCCAGGGTACCCGGAGAGAACCCAGGCATGCTCAGGGAGAACATGCAAACCCAATGCAGAAAGACCGGGGAGGGAACCCAGAACCTTCTTGCTGCAAGGCATGCTGTAAATTAACGTGTACAATTTACAAGAGGAAATTAAAGACACTGATCCTGGAAATTAATGTCTGCAATTCCCTGTTGTAAATTGTGACAATTACAAAGCCAATTTCACTGCTGCATAGGAACATGGATAGACTCATTGAACAAACAACATAGATGGGGCAGAGATTTGTAGTGTTTAAACTCCATAGGAACAAAAAAATAAATAAATCCCCCAATTTTCTTAACGTTTCAATACTTCCTCCACGTATTATTTTAGTTGCTGCTTTGGTCGTAATCGAGTCTGATCTGTCCGATTCCATTAACAACACTTTATCTTTTGGAAGGACTGGCATATTTCCAAATAATTGCAGATTTTTTTTTAATCATTTTTTCAACTTCTGATTTCTTAAAGTTGTTAAAGAAATAAAAAGAACTTAACAGCATAATTGCATAAACAGGAAAGTGCTGCCGAGAATTCATGGAACTCACATCCAACCACTGACTAAGAGAGTCTTAGTCACAGCAGTTAAAGGCATCACATTAGGGATATGTTTAAAGACTCCTAACAGACTCACTTTTCCTCTTTCTTTACCAAGTCAAAGGAAAGGATACAACTTTATCAAAACTTCTTAATTTTATAATTTTTCATATAATTTATTTCTTACCACCTTCCGATTACTTTTTTCCATAAACGGTCAAAGCAAAATAATATCTCAATCTAGGGCTGGAACTCACGATTATTTTGCAAAACGATTACTACCTTTTTTCGGATAATAAATTAACAATCAGACAGCAAAAGGTTCCTCAAAGAAGACTTTTTGCTAAATTAAAACAGATAAAATAAAAAATTTCCTGCTTGAGGATTTCTGGATAGAGCACATTGACAAATGAAAAAGATTTTTAGCTTAAATTCAAAAATGTTTACCTATTGTTCTTTTTACAATTTTGGTATAACCGCTGCTCAAGGTGGATTGCTCTGTCATCTAAAGGAACGTTAGGCTCTAATTACTTAATTTGCTGATTATTTCAGTAATTCCTAAATGATTTAATATCAGTAATTCAATCAGCCCCATTTCAAATACCAGAATCAATTAACTATCTAGAAAGTAGATCATACAAATCAACTCACCACAGCAGCTCATGCAGGGGTCTTCCAGCCCAGCGGCCTTTGCCGATATCAAAAGCGTAAGCAAAGATTTTTGCACCGTTGCCATCAGCATCTACCTCCATACGAGCCTGAAAAACAAATGAAACAAAGCGGTTTAGACTGGCTCTTCCTGGTGTGCTGTATAGATGAGGTAAAGGTGAAAGCCTTCAGACAATATACCTCAAAGGCATAGTTTTCCACTAGGGGTATGTCCTGCTCATCAATCAAGGTGTATTTCGTCTGAAATGAGAAATGCAGAGGCTTAAGTTGTAGCTTGCAACAAGCCGACAGCTCTAACCTCTACTCCGCCGTGCAGCAAGACAATTCATGACAAACAGTTACATTCCTGAGCTTTCTCTATCGTTATGCTGCTATAGGCCATGACTTCTGGGGGACACCTATTTCATCACACTATCTCTATACTACCACTCTGCAGAATCTGTTAGTTCAATCTCTAATGTTATGCTCGCTCTGCTTTTTCTCATAGTAGATTCATCTAGTCTGTTCCTGTTTGGTTGTGACACCATCCTGGAGAGAAATATCAGCTGTGCTGCTGGCATCAACACCCTTGTTTATAGCTGTGGAGTCTTTCCTCTCCACTGTCACTACAAGCATCCTTAGTGTGAGGGATTGCATTCGAGTCAACGAGTCGATGCAATCAACTGGTTTTCCCTAGATAGAAAACTTTGAATCAATTTGATCCGATGACCTCTGAAGTGCCTTGAGATGACATGTGTTGTGAATTGGCACTATATAAATAAACTGAACTGAAATGACTAACTCCATATACTGCAAACATTTTTTTTTATGAAAGCAAAAACCTGCCAAATACCAAATGCAAAGAATTATATCTACCTTCAACTGCATGTCTGTTTATTGCGATTTAAATAAGAGGAAAACATGCAGATACTGCAAGATTCAACTGTAGGTAATGGAATGTAGGTTATACTGCGGAGTAGTTTACATTCTGGGAATAAACCCTATAATATTTACATTGAAGCTTCTCAGATCGTCCACTGATCACGAATCCTGACCAGCCTTTCATAAAGGAGACCAAACAGTGACCAAACAGCATGGCAATACGTGGGGTCACCCCAAACCAGCCCAACCACAGAACGCGGGTGGCTGTGTCTTCACACCAGACGTCTTATTATGTAACGTGACACCCAGTTTCCACGGTGAGACTGCGTGGTGAGGGTCTTTCAGCTGTACAAAGATCATGGCTAACTGGAACCAACCAGCTGTGGGTCGGCACGCGGGATGCTGAACTGTTCAGTTCCAGCAGCAGCTCTTTAACCGTTGACGTCTTGTGACACTGACAACGATACAGTCAGCTACAGCTTAACGTCATAGTTTTGTTCAGGAAAAAATAAATAAAAATAACACTCCGTACAAAATAGAAGCTGCAACATTGAAAAAAAGCGAATTTTTTTGGATAAAACTGTGATAATTTCCTCATTTAACCGACGCTCCAATGTGGTTCAAATATCGCGGCTAACGTGGTGATGCTAACAGCACCGCTACAGAATTTAAGCAGACTGCCGTTAAAATACTGGTAATAAAAGTAAGCAGCAACAAGAGACAACAAAACTGACCGCGAAACGGATATAAACGGAATATTTGTGTTCATAGTTAAGGGTATTAGCGTTAGAGCTGTCTAACAGAGAGGGGCTATATGCTAGTGTTAGCTTGAATCTGTAATAGCGACAGTTGTGGGCAGCAGCAGTCTGTTTCGGCCGGCTTTTCTAATCCGCTCAAACGCGCCTTAAAACGCTAAAGCTAGATTTTTGACGAACACACGGTCGCATTGTTCCAGACAAAGCCGTTCACTCTGATCGACTGATTACATTAAAACCGGTTCCTAACCCGTCTACCTAGATCCCCCCGACGGGCCCTCCCCCGGCCGCACATGGCAGCAGTGGGATCCGGCTCACCTTCCCGGCCACACGGCCGAGCCGCACAATCCCGAGCTTGAAATCCGACATCAGGGGAACTGTGCGGTGTTGACACAGAGGGCAGTGGGAATCAAACTATTAGGTCTAAACAGGCGTGAAGCTGGACGGGCCGGTCCCTCAGCCCCGCTGCGATACCACCTTTCGGCTAAGTAGCGCTTTCCAGCCCTCCGTCTGGCCGCTGCCCAGCCTCGGTGACACCCGGACGCTGGAGAGCAAGAAGCCAGAGTAGACGTCGAGGGAGAGGGGCGGGGCTTAAACAGGAACCAGAACTACTCACCATAACGACCAATCAGATTCGTTTTTGCTTCAGTTTGGTCCAATCATGTTGAACAATAGAAAGTGATGAAAATTACTACCGCCCATTTTTTGTGTCAACGTCATACACGCTCGTGATCGCTTCCGACCATTTTCGCGCGAAATGTCAGAGGGCTTTTACAAGGCACTGCTTTTATAAAAGGTTGGAAAAATTGAAAAAGACGACATATAAATAATAGTAAAGTACTGAACAAAGTATTGTGTAAACCCTATTTAACTGCACTGTTGTACAGAATAAAATTAATGTCACAGCTGCTCTTCTATAGTTGGTTTGATTAAGGCCATGTCTTTAAATACTGTCTTCATCCATATTTATTTCATATTTAATTTTTTGAACACAACATTTAGGAAATATGAGGGATTATTATTAATATTTATTTTCTCCCAGGAATATAATTGTCTGTTTAAAGGCCTTATGTAATTACATGTGAGCACAGGGGACTGAGTACACGTCTCAGACATGGAAAAATATATATTTTTAAGGGTTTTGAAACGCAAAAAAAAAAAAAAAAACTCCATAATTTCAAAACACATCACATTTCAGACAGCTTACCAAGAACTAAATAAGATACACCCAGCAGTGGTGTGTCCTGCAACAAAGGGGGCAGCTTTTGTTTTAGAATGCAGTTCATATTTTTTTATGATTATTAAAAGATGATATTTCAACAGAAATGGAAGGCATCCCAAAAGTATGTTAATATGCAATAAGTACTTAGCAATAAGTATTATTTTTTAATGAATCACTGTATTATTCGGCATGGAGGCAATCAGCCTTGTGTCATCTTCCTCTCGACACTATAGATTGTTTGTGGACTTAAGGTCAGGTGACCCTGTTTGCTGAGTAAGCACATTAACACCATGGTCAGTGAACCAGCAGTTGGCATCTTTGGCAGTGTGGACAAGTGACAATACCTTCTGGAGCATAAAAACTGCTTCGCCACTCCTTCCCCAGACTCTGTGATCCCTATTTCAAAATAAAATACATTTTCTTTTCATATGAAAGTAATATGTGTTTCTGCATCATTCCATGGCTTGTAAAGCTTCACTATAGTTGGATTTTTTTTTACATTTGTTTTGCTCCACAATCCTCTGAAGGCAGTGGTTATCAATATTGCTGGTTCACCATTTTCTACCATTATTTTCTTCCACTAAATTTTCAGTTAATATCCTTGGTGGAAATGGTGGATGTGATGTGTGGAATATGTGGAAATTTTAAAATTAATTTTGGGGAAATGTGCAATCTGAAATTCTTTTCACCTCCCTTTGTTTCAACATATAAAAACTGGTTTCTACAATAATAAGTAAAAAGAAGCAATAATTTAGAAAGGAAATAAAAAATAAAATAAAGATGTTAATATTATTTTTTCTGCATTAAATATTTATTATCTTCTTGGTTATCGTGTTTTTATGATTTCCAGATTATGCCATTCTGCAGTAAATTGTCCAAAATAATTCCAAATGGATAACTTGCATTTTTCCTTATACATCTACCTGATAGTTTACCCATAGCTCCCTCCCTCCTCCTTTGTAACCCCTGACTGGCTCAAATATTGGTCTGATGACCTCATGACAAGCCCGTCAGGCATTTTTGCTAAAGAAGAACATTTTAGTTTAATTTGTAATGTGCATCATGAGTGGAATAGAACTGAACTGTCCCAATGTCTATTGGTCTAATATTTCCTAAAAAGTTGTTTCATTCAAAATGTTGGTATATTGTTATTCTGTATGGTTTTCTAGATTACATTTTTTTGCTTTATTAGGAATAATGTGTTAAAAATCTATGAAATCAATGTTATTTATTCTGCCATTAGTCTCTGGATCTAAAGTTATTGTACCTGGAGTTTTATGTGTAAGCAGTAGTAATTGATATATTCTTACAATTAGTCACTGAGCTTTTTCATAACAAAGGATCCTTTTATATGGATCCATTCATTCTTTAAGCCCAGTCCAATCATTTGTTCCCATGATCTGCCCGTTGGGATAATAGTGAAATCAGTCAGCTCCCCCTATCGACCCAAAGCTGTATTACAGTGCTCATGTCTATCCAATTATTTACCAAAACAGTTTTAAAGAGAACTTAAGAAAGATTAAATTTCAATTTGCATAATTTATTTTCACAATACTTTACTGGGGTGGGTTCTAGGGAATAAATATATAAATCTAAAGGTTATTTAGCATCACGTCTTTAAATAAATTGTGGTTATCTTAAGGTAATGCAAATAATTAGCTTTGTATACAATTTTGTATACAATGTGTGAAAAGAGAAATATGAAATTTAACCTAAAGTTCATACAACTGTGGCTGTGTAACATTTATTCAGAATCAGACATACTTTAAGAATCCTAGAGGGAAATAACTTTTGTTACCCGCTCCAGATATACAAACATTTATATATATATATATATATATATATAGATATATATATATATATATATATATATATATATATATATATATATATATATATATATATATATCTATATATATATAAAATATAATATAATAATTGAATTTTATTGCTATCACACTGGCGAAATTAACCTCTGCATTTGACCATCCTCGTGGGGAGCTGATGGCTGCCATTGATTGGCACCTGGGGAGCAGTGTGGGGTTAAGGGTTTTGCCCAGAGTGGAGGCTGTGGGAATTGAAACAGGTACCTGCAACCTTCTTAGAGCACAAGCACACTGCTTTAACCACTAGGCCAACACTTCCCTTAGGTTAAATAGGTTAAAAAAACTGATTCATCCCCTAAAGGTAAACACTTCTTTACACAAGAGTTTATTCACGATGGCCAAACAATGGTTCTCCTGTCCTCAGCTCTTCTTCAAAGTGAGACATGAAGATGCCACCCTGCTCTGTGCTGAAAGGTTTTCCCGCCAACAGTGAGGCTCCCAAACACTGTGAGAGGAGGAGTGTTGTTTCTTTTGAAGAATTAACTGACCTTCATTTGCTCCCTCCTATATATATATAAAACTGTAGCCCTGTCTCTATGATAAGGGTTGTTGCCTTCCTGGAGGGTAAACTTCCACCCCAGTCTCACATAATTTACAGCATCTAACAGGTTTTCCTCAAATAATTGTTTGTTTTTAGCCCCACCCAGCAACCCTAACTAGCTCCGCTGCCACTCTCAGTATGATGCTGCCTACATGCATCATCTTTCCCTTTAAGGACTCTATTTTAGTTTAATGTGGGTAAATAGTTTATTTAGGTAAAAAAGAAAACAACAAAACATTAATGTTGGTCTTATCTAACCAGAGAACCTTCTTCCATCCTTTCAAGGGCTGGTGTGAAAGTAAAAATTAGACTTTCTTTATATCCTGGTACTGACAAAAAACAATTAGTCATTTATATATTAACCCTTTGGTGTGTTTTAGAGATCAAACCTCTCTTAACACTACAGTTGACACAGTATAGGTTGGTGGTGTTAAAGCCATCTATCATTTTTAAGATCCCTGAACGTTCTCCACAGACCAGTTGCTCAACTGTTTCCAAACCAGCTGTGTCTTAGGAGTGGCTGTATCACTGATCCCTGCACATTACATGATGAAACCAAGTATCTATCACACCCATCCTCCTTAAAAAACAAAAGAAAAAGTTAAGATGTTCTCCCACTGTATCCAAGTAGAGAAACACTGAGAACATTTTATCAAGCCTGGATAACAGATATCCAAGTCATTGTCCTTGAGCTAAACAAGGCACACAGCAGCTCCTAAAGGCCATTTTATGGTTATTACAATACTTTTCTTTTTTTGCTTGCCTTATCTAATTTTAAAGATTAAGTTGTCACTTCAAATAGTCGTAAACATTAAGATTAAATAGGTTAAAAATGAGGAGTCTGACCTTCCACTTCTATCCAACTACAAGCTTCTCTAAATTGAACAGAAAAAAGTTTCTATAATTCACTAAGTTGTTTCATACCCTTACACTTTTATAAATTGTGTCACACCTCAACCGTAAATGTAATTGTATTTTAATGGATCAAATGTGAAAGCCTCTTTACAAGACAAATAAGTTGAGGCAAAAAAGACACATACTACCGTACTAATTTTACAAATACATATTTTAGACATTTGACAAGGTATTGTATTTACCCCCTTTTTACTCTGACTACCCTAATTAAAATCCAGTGCAACCAACTTCTCGCAAAAGTATAACAAATTAGTAAACTGACTTTAGTCCAGCTATGTCTGGTTTAACTATATATACAGCTACTTTGTAAAGGTCTTTAGGTTGAGATATAATTATGAACTAAAAGCATTATGGATATCAGGGGAAATACTAACAGGTCAATAATAAGGGTATTTATCAGGTATAGGTTATGAAACAATCTACCAAACTACTTATACAGTACTGCTTAATCCCTAATTTTTCAGATTAAGATTACCTACTGGTTAATGGGAGACACAAAAGTGAAGAAGCAGCCTACAGGTCTGGTGTTACTCTAGAGAGGCTGCATAGGTCTACAGCTCAGGTGGGAGAATCTAAAAGCAGAGAGATTATTATTCTGCATTTATGGGATTTTATTTGAGGTTTATTTTTGTTTTGCTTTTTAGTAAAGCAAGTTAATCCAATCTTGATGTATGGATAGAAATATAGAGTGCATGACAGGACTGAATATAGAGCGAAACACACTTTTCAAATGTTTGATTAAAAAAAAAAACACTTCAGCTTCTCAATTATACACCAGTTTTTGTTATTGTATCAGTTAAAACACAAGTAAACACTGACTTACTGTATATATAGCCTGATAAAATGTACAAGTAAACAAATTAGCTAAACATAACAGAGATCACAGAGATTTTGAAGAGTCTTTACATTAGAATGGCTAAAGATATTCCACCTAAGCACCAGAGGCGTAGCCAGAAAGGTTTTATAAGGGTGGCCAGGCATAACCAATGTATACTGAGGGTGGCCAAAAGTGGATAGGCACCAGAACCTCAGGGTCAATCTGCACGGTTCCAACAGGAACAAGCACAACACCCACATTTCTAAATAACGACAAACTGTAGTTTCCTACAGCCTTTGCTAACAAATAGATGCATATATTTAAACATTTGTCTAGATGTAAAAGGTATATTGGATAAAATTCTTTGAGGTTTGAGTTCTGGAGTGAACATCTTTTCCATCGTCATTACTTACCTACTTTTATCAATAATCATTCTACATTAAATTGATTTGTACAAGTGCTAATATCTACATAAATTGATAATTTAATAAGTTTTTATTAAATAGTTGTTTACAGTATCTATGACTTCACTGAAGACTCTTAGATGACTTGAAGAGACACATAATTTTCTCTTTATGGCATATAACGCAAAATCTAGTTCTGAAAGAGCATGAATTCTGTAGTAATCATCTCTAATGTTGGAATATTGATGCGCATAATTAACCACAGTGTTTTGTTGTCAAGTAATTGTTAATATATAATAAATTAAACTTTTTTGAAAATTCTACTTGAAAAAAACGGTAGGGGTGGCCACAGATTGACTAAGGGTAGCCTGGCCCCCCATCTAGCTCCGCCCCTGCTAATCACATGTTTAAAAAATAAAAAATAAAATAAAAATACTGCCTCTGGATATTTTTGTTAAAATCCAGGGATAAACTTGAAATATCAGACAATGAAGACGTGTTTAAGAGTTTAATCTTAGATAGTTTTTTTTATAACATCAATCTAAGATGAAACTCTAATGACGATTAGAGCTGACGCCCAAGTGAAAACAGGTGGGACAGAGAGATTTCCTTTCAGCTCTGACCTCTCAGGTCTCTGTCACTTCCTGGTTCCGCTCACCTGTTACACCTGTGTTACAGCGCTGTCCCACAGAGGCGCGACTCCGCCGGTGCGCACCTGTTCTCCTCTTGTGCCATGACTGAGGGATTTACCGAGTGTGACCTAACATGTTCGTCTCCTACTCCTTCGGTGGAGACTTTAAATGCCGTGAACCACCTGAAATTGGAGCCAGAGCAGCCCATTTTCTCCGTGCTGACCGGCGGTATGAAGGAGCAGGAGAGGGGGGAGGCGCACATCGCAGTGTCCCATCCGACCACCTGCGGCGCCACCTCACCCACCGCCGCCTCCGACACCGAGTCCGGGGTTTTCTCCGTTGAGAGCGAACTTTGCGCGGAGCACGACTTCGAGCTGGACTGGTTCTGCGGAACCGAGCAGAAACTCATCTGTTCCCGCTGTGCCACCGCGGGCCCCTGCCGGGAGCACAGCGTGGCCCCGCTGGCCCGCAGAGTCACAGCAGTCAGGGTGAGCTGTTTTTTTTTTTTTTTTTCACCTCAAAAATCATATTTAGTTTCATTTGAATAAAAAGAAAAACATTTTCTAGTATCTTATTAATGTGAAACATATACCAAATTTTAGGAATATTTAACTTGTTTATTATAATTACACATTCTGATAATTCTGATAAGATGTTGAAAATACATTAACTATTTTTTCAAAGTCAATATTTACCAGCATTTTCTCCTGGGTGTGCCATAGCTTTTCCTGCTGATATTTCAGTTTGGTATTTGAGAGGACAGGATTTTCTTGTACTACTACCAGCTGGCCATGTTCAGCTTTGTGTGGTTATCATAGGAAACGTGCTAGACTGAGTGTGCATGCGTGTGTTTGTTCCTCTCCAGAACCAACTGGTGGATGTGTGTGAAAAAATCCAGCTGCAGGCCCTGAGGATCGAGAAGTTCATCAAGCAAACACTGGATGCCAAAGAGCAAAAACTGCAGGTGAGAGATGTTGCTGGACCAGTGATCACACCGGGAAATTGGTTTGCTGGTGCTACAAGTTGAACCTGTTTCACAGGTAGCCGATTTAGAGAGCACACCCGTTTCCTAAAAGCTGATTAAACAGTTTGTTGGTACAGTATTAAGGAATCAGTTAAGCCTGTATAACATGCCTTCATCCCTGTCTTCATCAGACACATTTAGAAGTTTTAATTAAACCCTTAGGGAGTTAAATTCAATGCTTTTAAACTGATGAATTTTCAGCACTTCTATACAGAGGCGTAGGGTGGCCAGGCAATAACCAATGTACACTGACGGGTGGCAGATAATGGATATTTTTCTAAATAAAGACAAACTATACTTCCCTACAGATTTTTCAAACAAAAACATTTAAACATCGGTGCTTTCTAGATAAAAGGTATATTAATTCTTTCAGGTTTTAGTTCTGGGGCGAACATTTTTTCCATTGTCATTACTTACCGACTTTTATCCTTAATCATTCTGCATAAAATTGATATTAACCAGTACTTATATCTACATCAATTGAATATGTATTAAGTGTTATTATGATTTCACTGAAGACTCCTAGATGACTTGTAGAAATACATAATTTTTTATTTACCCCATATGACAAATCTAGTTCTGAAGAGAGCATGAATTCTGTATTTATCATATTTAATGTTAGCATATTGATGTGCATAACCACATTAACCACACATTAACCACAGTGTTTTTGTTGTAAAGTAATTACTACTAATACATGAAGGTTTTTGATATTTTGAATATTCCACTTCAGAGTATTACTGCTGCCAACATCTGTATTAGAGGGGGGAAAATGGTAGGGGTAGCCACAGGGGTGGCCAATGATTGGCTAAGGGTGATCTAGCTCTGCCCCTGTTTCTATATTGTTCCAAACTAGGTTTAGTTAAAATAATATTTTGAAAGTGTTAAACAGTTAATACCTACAGGCAAATAATTCAACATCAACCAGGGTTAAATTAATCTAACACTATTTTTTGTATAAAGTTAACGCCACACATTATTGTTAAAATTCATCCAGATTTATGGACAAATATATCAGAGTATCATCAGCATATACTGGTACTGCATTTTATTTAGGAGGCATTTCATTACTTTTTGTAGGCCCATGTTAAGTTCCGACATTATTAATTGAAGTTTGGGGTTGTAATGTAAAGATATAAATACTTGGCAAGGTGCCGCAGTTGTCTTGGTGACCTATTTCACAACCTTCCAACAAAACCATTGAAGCCGCTTGTACTTATTAACCTACAGGCACATAATGAGATGTAGCATCAGAGGTAGCCCCCTGCCTCGTCATGCTTGTGCAGTTTTATAGGTGACCAGTTAGCAAACAGCTAATAAAACTGATTCTTTTACAGCGCTAGGGAAGACTCGGATCTGTGAAGCCATTGGTGTGATTTTTTTCAGCAAGTTGCAACAAGTCAAACGTATTTGTGAATTTACAACATTTTATAGCTTTTTCTTCTTTATGAGGATTATATGTGACCAAAGGTTTTCCAATGGAGTTAAAAAGAAAACATGTTTACTCACAGTGTGGGATTAAAGGCTTTATATTTCTCCTCAAGGAGAAGCCTTCTTTGCAATCGATTTTGTCATTTTGTGGATTTTATTATCGCACGTCAAAACACATGTTGTGGCTTTTGTAGGGAAAGAAGCCTAAGTTTATATTATTGCCACTGAGCATGTGGACACATGATAAACCGGAGTACAGGAGGTTCTGTTGTGAATGTTCATTTTTCTTTACAAGAGTTGGAAATCCTTACTTCAGCTAGGTTTTTCAATTCAGTTCAGATATTAAACATGTCAAATATCCACAGACCAAGAGTTCCTGAATGCACCATATGCAGGAATCAGCAGGATCAAAAGTATTACTGTTTTGCTTTAGATTTCTTTAATTAGCATGCATGAGCATTTTTGAGATTAATGAATTTTAAACCTAAAACATGCATTCTATTTTAAGCTAAACAAAAACACTCTTCATATGGATATTTACATTATTATTAGTTTACTTTATTATTTAAGTGCTTTGCAGATTGCTAAAAATTAATAATATTTATGGCAATTTATTTCATTTAACAAAAATAACGATTTCTATTGCCAAATTTCCTTGTTCTTCATAGCTGCTTCTCAGCTTTGATTGGTTTGCAGGAGGAAAAACTGTGGAAAGTACCTATTTTTCCTTTTTCATTAAAAGGGCCAGGACATTAAGCTCACAGTATTTTTCTAACTGTGAGAGCACCGTCAAACCTGATATTCTTTGATTCACACATTCTTGGAAATGTATGAATCATAGAAAATTTGAGGGCATTTAATTAGAGGCATACAGTGGATATCGAGAATTTACACAGAATTATTAAATGGATATTTTGGTACAAAAGGGTACATAACCTATGTCAGATGGAGAGATATTAGATTAGTAATAGCAACACCCTGGTTTTTATTCAGTTTTTAATTATTTGTTCTTTTACAAAAGTTTATCAGCATCATTATTTTATTTTCCAAAACAGTTTGCATTAAGTTCCTCCGATCTATTAAACTGTGAGAACACCTTTTTCGTTCGCTTTTCTGTTCAGGATGTATATTTGTCAGATTTAGTTTAGGAATATCACTTGTTCAGTCCAAAAAATTGCATTTTCTTCTTTTAGTGATGTTAGTGATGAGGTAAAGTGAAACCTTTCTCCACGTTCAGCTGTCAAACATGCCCTTCGAGGTTTGACAGCTGAACACAGGTGTGGAAAAATTCATGATTTCTCCATTAAGTTTGGCTTATCCCAGATCATTATGCTGCCACTACCTTATTTTACAGGAGGTATTTTGTTTTTGGTGGATTTCTCAGAAGACATTACTTACATTTAGGGCTGAAACAATTAATTGGATTAATCGATTAGTGAAATAATCGTCAACTAATTTAGTAATCAATTAATCATTAACTGGAGTAAGACTGTAAAATATGCTCTTAGCTGACAGAACAACAAGTTTAAAGTAGTAATTATATCAAAATTGTACAAAAAAAATATAAACATTTTGCATTTAAGATAAAAAAAAGTGTTTCTATCTGTCAATATGTTCAATACAGAACTCCTCAAGTGGGAAAGTTTTAGTTTCACCTGATTTCTTTTCTTCAAAATTGTCTTTAAGGAACCTTTGGCTATCCGATTATTAATTGATTAATCAAAAAAAAATTAACCAATTTCCAAAATATTGGTTAGGTGCAACCCTACTTACATAACAATGTATTTAAAAAAAAAATTATTATTATTTTACACTTTTTTAGATTTTAAACTTTTTAAAGATTGCTTCCCACAGATTATTTTTGTTATTTCTGTTCCTTTGGATTCCTATAAGTCTGTGTAAACGCATGCAACTATTATTTCACTTCTTAAGTGCTCAAATTTTGTTTTTCATTCATTTGTTTATTTTTCATTAAAATGAAAGGTCTACAGGACATTTGCCACACAAATGATTGTAAAAGTTCTGAAATACCTTATTGTGGTCTTGTTTGTTAACATCACATGAAACCGGCATGCTACTAGCCTGTTGATTAAAAACTACCTCAATTAAAGAGCATACAGCACATTCTGCTTTTATCACTATTTTTTAGTTAAATTTAGCTGGTAAAGGAAAGCAATGTTTAAAAAAAGGAGTCTGAATTCATTTTAGTCCTTTGAAATAAAATAGTCTTGTCCTTTATGTCCCTTTTATGAATTCTTCATAGATTCCTTGGTTGTTGTACTGTTCATCCAGATATGAGCAATGAAAACAACAAAGTCAGATTACTTGATGATTACTGATTTTAAAAAAATTCATAATTTTATTAAAAATCATATACTGTATATTTTTCTCCTTTATTCACATTTTTTCATTATATTGCTGTTTGATAAATAACCATTTAGATTAATTAAAGTTTATGTAAAACATTTTAAAAAGATCCATCATGTGTGAACAGTTATGAGAGTTACCACACATAAATATGTGAGCTTCTAAAGCTGACAGGTTTTCCTGATTTTCGAACCAGAATGAGAGACGAATGACTTTCAGGACTCTCAGGATTTACTGTACCTCCCATAAAATCTCCTGTGTTTCTACGCAGGCATCGGCGAGCAGAGCGAGGGAGCAGGTGCTTGCCCAGGTCAGCGCTGCGCGTGAGGCCTTGGAGGAGGAGGAGCAACGCCTCCTGGAACAGGTGCAGAGGGAGGCGGAGCGGGTGGAGCAGTGCCTCCTCACCCAGAGAGCTCACTGGAACAACGCTCTGACAAGTCTGTCACAAACACGCTCCCACTTGGTGCACACGCTGACGCACGCTGCAGACGCACAGCTGGTGGTGAGTTACTAGGGCTGTTTACACATTATGGCGGTTATGACGCTGCTGGCGAGATTTTAGCTACATAAAAAGTTTTCTGCTGATAAGAGTTATAAACTACTGAGAGTAATCGCCTTCTTTCTGGATCCCTTTTTTTTCCCAGACCAGCATTCAGGAGATCAGTGAAAGGTACTTCTTTATATTGCTGACTAATATTTGACATTACTTGGAGAATGCTGGAAGTTAGTGTCACATCTGAAACATCTGTTTGCTTCAGGGCGGAGGAAGCTGAGGGGGTCGGGGATCCCTGTGACACCAATCAGCTCAACCTGAACCCAGCCTGTACCGACAGCAAGCTGCTAAGGGGCCTCTGGGCCACTGCTCTCCTTCTGGGGCCCAACGGTTTGTACCTTTACTCCCTGGGATTCAACCGATTCAGCAGGAATATAACAGGCTGATATTCAGGCTACATTCCCGTTTTCAAATGCTTCACTGGGGAGTTTAGATTTAGACTAAAGGCTGGTTTATGCTCTGAAACCAGGTCATCTGCATGTGTGTCGCAGTTAATGCAGATATGCCCCCGCCAATTCTGCAGACATTCTGGTGCACCTCTCCCAAATTGTTTTTTGACCGCAGACAGTGCTGCAGACAGGAGGCCTCTGATTGGTCAAATCTACATCCGCTCTACACTATGTGTATTTCCTGTTTGTTACCTTACTGGCTTGNTTCATTGCTCCAAAAAAATCAAATAACAAAAACATTCTTCTTTCTAGTTTGGCAATTTTGCCTTTATTTTTAAGAATTTGCACTTTAGTTATCGCTGCTCAGGGGTAAAAGTAGATTTCACAGGGTTTGATAAAAAAAAAAATAAAAATAGAAAACCTGCATAACTGCCTAGTAATGCCATGGTAATCCAGACCTAAATTGAATGAATATGTTAACTAAAATGTTGTAATGATCATGGGAAAAAAATAGAAAATGTTTGAATGACAATACAAGAAAACATTTACATCACATCAGCTTTTTTCTGTTTTTCTTTTTTGTTTTTTCCTCACTATAAAAATGTAAAAAGTTGCAAAAATCTTTAATAAAAATATTAAAAATGATCCAGATTTATCAGATATTATATATGGCAGAAGCGACTTTCAATCAGTTTCTTATTTTGCAAGTTAGTGAGTTTAAAATTTAATTTGAATAGAGACATGAATACATGCTTAGTAGTACATAATAAACAATGATCTGGGCGAAATTTTATGAAAACGTGTGACTTTATGTTTAGCAGCATCATCGTTTCTGACTCATCTGTTGTTTTGTTCCCATACACAGCTTATGGATCACCTCTGTTAAAGTTTGACGAGCGCACAGTCAGCCCACTCCTCTCCCTCTCTGAAGACCTACGCACTTTAACCTTCATCTCAAAGAAGCCCCGACAGGCTCCCCCATACGACCCAGCCCGGTTCGATTCTTGGCCCAATGCTTTGGGATCTCTATCCATGTCCTCTGGTACGCACTGCTGGGTGGTGGATGTTGGAGAAAGCGGCGCCTTTAAGGTCGGAGTCTGCTATGCTAACCTGGAGAGGAAAGGTTCTGGGAACGAGGCACGACTGGGCCACAACAGCCAGTCATGGGTTCTGTCCCACTATGACCTCGACTACTCCTTCTGCCACGCAGGAAAGAAGGTGCCACTGACATTGATTAAGCGACCCCAGAGGATTGGCCTGCTACTGGACTGGTTGAGCCAGACGCTTCTGTTTTACGAGCCCGACTCTGGCACCGTACTGTACTCTGTCACTCACCCCTTTAGTGCTCCGCTGCTGCCTGCGTTTGCTGTGACCGACCGCAGTATCACCATCCTGCACCGATAAACTGAATTCATGCTGAAAGAAATGACAGGCAGACACCCCTGCATTACAGAAACATATAATATATGCAGATATACAAGAACTCTGTGAAATATTGATAACTTCCAACTGCATCAGTTTTTATTTATTAATTTTATTATTTTTTTTCAAATGTGATATCACTTTTAATAATTTGCTAGCTTTTATTATTTTTATATCTTGATTATGTTACACAGTTGTGCCATTTTGTAATTACCTTGACTAAAACAATAATTTTAAATGGAAAGAATATATTTGTTTCTTTTTGAAAGACAGAAAGAAGTTCATAATATGTTAAACCTATAAAGTTTATAGAAAAGAAATGACACCAGTTGATCTACGTTTTACGAAATCACAAAAAAGTTGACTTATTACTGCATTTTAAAAATTTTAGTAAAAATATAAGCGTGTTTGCTATATGCTTAGAAGAATGGTTATTTTTTTGAATCTGTTTATTACTTTTTTAACTGAGATATGTCAAGAGATGATAAGCTGCAGTTTATTGAGTGATATTAGAAGGGTGCAGGCTTTGGTTTGTACCTCACACAAAGGTTATAAACACTTAAAATACAAAACAGTAAGAAATAATCAGCAAAGGAGTGTATATTTCAATTGCAGCAAAACAGATACCAAAATGAGCATCCATATTATAACCTGATCAGGCAATGATATTTTAAAGCATTCCAAGGCCCTAAACATTTCCTTTTTTATTTTTGAACCAGAACTTTGAATGTAATGTGTTGTGGCGACAGCCAAACACCTCTGTTTTTGGCTGTCGGATAATTGTTAGGTAAAAGGCCAGTGATGGCTTTTCTCTTTTTTTAAATAAAAAGTTCATAAATACGGCTTGCCTCTGCATCCACCCACTCTACAATGAAACCTCCTAAAAGCCCCAATTCAACAAAGTGAATTAAGAAACTGTTGCTTTGTTCAAAAGACCAAAATACACTCCACACACCATCCCCACAATGAATGATGTTGGTGGAAGGATCATTCTGCAGTTGAGGCTCATCTTCAGCAGATATAAGGTGCATCTCATAGTTGTTTGGGAGATAAATGAAGCTAATTAAAGAGGAAATCCTTGAAACAAACCTTTTATAGGCAGCTAAATACTCAAGACAAAGGTGGAGGTTCACTTTCAGACAGGACGATAATCCTAAAAAATATTCTAGGAAGACAGATTATCTCCATTCAATCTGATTTTTGTAAAGAAGAATAAGGAAAATATTCTTAATTTGTGCCACATTGCAAAAGTCTTATAGCATCCCTCTAATTTCAGCAACAAATGTTGTGATGGTGAGGCTGTATGCATGCAGTATCTTGTGTATCATATTTACGTTGGCCTGTCTCACACATTCCCTGCAAAATACATCAAACTTAAAGCAATTTATACCAAGAAACACTGCACCCTTATTAAGCAAAGCACTTTGTGATGTGTTTCACCACTTAACATGCTAAACAAAAAAATAAATCCCACATAGCTTGGAATTGGGGGAAGCTGGTTTTAAAAAGAGAAAATAAAGCAAAAAGTGTCACCCCCTATCTAGTGAATTTTTGAACCGGAGGCCTTAGACTGATTTTTTAGAAAACTGGATTTGCGGGGGGGCCTGGTTTTCCCCCTGTTTTCACCGAAACAAACAATCTACCAGAAAAGGAACTGCTTTTCTTTTCAAACATCTACATGACAATATGTGATCTCATTGCAAAACAAGCACGTTAAGAAACCTTAAATAATACTAAATAAAATTATTTGGTTTTGTAATGTATTGAAAGTTTTGTAACCTTCCTACATTGCCGTTGACAGCATTATGTTCATTGTAAAATCAAAATATGCACATGCGCACAACAGGCCGAGGTGCCACTAATGAAAACTTTAGGAATGGCAGGAGGTATAATTTTTTAATAGAATATTTTATATAATATTTTCATACTTATCAAGTAAAGCAAATGATTGTAAAATTGGTACTGAAATTGACATAACTGCTTTTTAATTATCACCATGATGATGCTGATAAATTTTTAAAACATGCAAAACATCTAAAAATTAATTTGTAAAATTTATATTGTGTCTGACTTCTTTTAAAATCCTAAAATATTTTATAGATTTTTTTATTATTGTTGACATTTATTACTTATATTAATAAGCTGAAATGATAACTTGCAGATAACCATGAAACATTTTCTATGGTAAAGTCCAGATATAAACCGAGTTAAAAGCTGCTTAACACACAGTGATATCTATGCTTAAATCTAAAAATAAAACAACTTTTAAACTAATCTGCAAACCATAATTTGGCAATGTCTGATATCTACTCTAGAAGTTAAGCTGTACATCACATAATGTCTGGGATAATTTCCACCTTGTTTACAAAGTTAAGCCTTTTTTTTCTCAGCGTCTCCATGCTCCCCTTGCATTTTTGTGATTTCTTATCAATTTTTACACAGCAGAAGAAGGCTACCACTTCTGGTCCCCTCAAATGACTAAGGTTGATCACCTTAGTCAGCTGTGATGGGACCTGCTGGCCGGTTTAGGTGTTTGAAATAGAAAGGCTGCTTTTAATGTATCACTGTTGCAGTGGATGCATTTTATTTTTAAATCCTCAAATTAGATTATCATTTAGTAAAATTACAAATTATTTCAAATACCTTAATCAGTTATATAACATGGTGCAGTCATTTTGCACATCTCTGATGTTGCTGCTACTTTCAAATATCCACTACTGTAAAGATGTCTATAGATGTAAACATTGGTTATTTATTCTCCAGTTGCACAGTTTTTAATAATATTTGATTGTTTATCATTTTCTCTTCACTATTATGTTACTCTTATACATTTTTTTAAGGTCCATATTTATGTTTTCTATAATCTTTTTGCTGCTGTAAACACCAGAATTTCCCCATTGTGGGACACTAAAGGGATTTTCTATTCTATTCTATTCTATTCTATTCTATTCTATTCTATTCTATTCTATTCTATTCTATAATGTAATTTAAGTCTATTTTGTTTTCATTTACAACACCTAATGTTAATGTACTCTTACAGTAAATCATTTAAAATGGTTAAAGAGATTTAACAAATTTTAGTCAAATTGATTTGAAGTAATTTATTTGACTCTCACACAAAAGTAATGTTTTCTAAATAGACATAGTCTATTCAACATATTCTTTAAACCCACTCCCAGTGTCGCCATAGGCTGGAGTCTACACAGTAATAAAAGGGGGGGCGATTTAATTTTTTTAATAGATTTTTCTTTTAATATTTTTTATGAATTTAGTGTTATTTTAATTAAATTACTTACAAAATATTTTGATTATTGATTTAATAGCTAGTTTGTCAGTTTTCAAGTTCAAATCCAGGTGTTGCCAGAGAAAATGTGGCCCTTTGTGAAGACAAGAAGTAGAAAGCGACAAAACATTTGTTGCAAAGGACCTGGTCAATTTATGAGACAGCAGCAGGCTGAACACTAAATTACTAGGATGAACGCTCTGACAGTTTTTATCTATACATTTGGAGTATTCTTGTATATTTAATGGATGTCTTGCCCATTCTCAGTCATTCTGTCGTTTCTGCTTTGTTTTCATCTTAATTCATTAATGGGAACATCAATTTGCTTTGACAAGGCATAGAAACCTACACTCAACTTCCAAACAAAAGTGAGGTATGTTTCAATAGTGTAAACATTGAGTAGAACCTTCAAACACAAGAAAATCAGCTTAACATAAACAACTTTAGCATTGTAAAAGAGCATGAGTTATTCTTTAGCAGAAAAATTTGTAATTATGAATAATAGTATTCATTTTTGATTTACACAGTAAAGTTATATCATTATTTAAAAGTATGTTTTTGAAAAGATATTTTAGTAAATTTTTTTGATTAACTAGTTTAATCAAAAATTCACAGGAAAATTAAAATAATTAAAGAAGTGCGCTGGATCTGTACTTCTTAATGGGACCTGGAGTAGAAGTGTGTGTATTTCATAAAGTTATCCCCAGAGTTTCAGGACTGCTGTTGCAGCTTTTAAATATGGCAGAAACTCCAGGGGTAATCAGTTAAGAATCACACAAAAGCGTTTTTTTGTTGTTTTTAATTGAAGGCTTCTGCTGTTACCTTTTTTAGAAGCCTCATCAAAAACCACAAGGGGGCAGCAAAGTCCTTCTAATCCACAATGATGATCTTTGCTCCTCATAACAAGAGGCTGAAGAATGTGTTTTCAGGACCAAGGAGAGCAATGAAAAACATGTTTGGTGATGCTAATCGAACTCATGTGAAACTTAAAATGTTTAATGGAGCCAACTGATGGAAACAGGATATGATTTGTATTTCATTAGTATGTTTTGTCAGTGTCCTATTACATTTAAGTCAGAGACATGGGATAACTACAGTCAGGTCCATAAATATTGGGACATCAACACAATTCTAATCTTTTTGGCTCTATACACCACCACAATGGATTTGAAATGAAACAAACAAGATGTTCTTTATCTGCAGACTTTCAGCTTTAATTTGAGGGTATTTACGTTCAAATCAGATGAACGGTGTAGGAATTACAACAGTGTGTATATGTGCCTGCCACTTTTTAAGGGACCAAAAGTAATGGGAAAATCTGCTGCTCAGCTGTTCCATGGCCAGGTGTGTGTTATTCCCTCATTATCCCATTTACAAGGAGCAGATAAAAGGTCCAGAGTTCATTTCAAGGCTGCTATTTGCATTTGGAATCTGTTGCTGTCAACTCTCAATATGAGATCTAAAGAGCTGTCGCTATCAATGAAGCAAGCCATCATTAGGCTGAAAACAAAACAAACCCATCAGAGAGATAGCTAAAACATTAGGTGTGGCCAAATCAAGTGTTTGGAACATTCTGCCTCTGTCTGAGAAAAAAACAGTTTAGAAGACAATCTCTTAGACTGTTTTAATGTCAAACGGATGAAAGAGAGCACATAAAGTTGGCCACAGTAAGAGCTGAGCCCTTATCTATGTCTAGAAGAGAAGCGGGACTAAGTACTGAAAAATAGGCCTAACTCTATCATCTATAACGAAGGAGTTGATGGCAGTGGCCCAACTGATATTTATGTCCAGGATAGCCAAACACAGCTAAACAGGAACAGACCAAATGAAGCTACTATGACAAGAAAAGCAAAGATAAAATAAAATGAGGGGTTGAACTGACAAACACAATACAATGAGATAGACAGAATGATGTCCCTATGTGCTCCAGCAACTTAAGCCTATAGTAGCATAACTATAGAGATGGCTCACAATAACCTGAGCGGCTCTAACTATAAGCTTAATCAAAAGCAAAAGTTTTATGCCTAGCCTTAAAATTAGACAGGTTTTGTGCCTTACAGACTAAAACTGGTAGTTGGTTCTACAGGAGAGGATCCAGATTACTACTATATTTAAGTTTAGGCAATACATTCCATCATATATCTGCACAGATCTGTAATTTCTTATATGAACCTAGGAATTAATTGGTCATTGGCAGGCAGAAGACCAACCAGCATTGCCAGATAATATCTTCTTTTAATGCTTTTTCTGCTCATTTAGTTGGAATATATTTGAAAGCCTTAATTATTTCAGTAGCTCAATTCAAAGATAGCCATATTACACGTTTTCAAGCCTTTATGTCAGTTAATTACAAAGACTTTCCACTTGCAGCTTAAACACAACACTTAAAATTAGAAATGAATGTCAGGCCAATAAAAATATATATTTATTACAAAATACAATTCTATTTTATAGAAAAAATATTATCAAATTGGCCAAAGGTACTTTGAATATAACAAGTAATTTCCAGAAAACTTAGATCTATAGGTCAATTTACATGCAGCATACATAACTTGCCCAACCTGTTAACTGTGTAGTTCCACCTTGTAAAAACAAAAAAAAACATTTGTTATGCAACATTTTTTTTTTATCTGTTGTGTTTTAAAACACCAACTATAGTTACTGTACTCTTACATTGAATTATTCAAACTGGTTTAACAATTTTTATTCAAATTAGTTTGAAGTAATTTATTTGACTCTCTCACAAAACCAATGTTTTCCAAATACATCTATTCTATAGAACATATTCTTAAAACCCACTCCCAGTGTCACCCTGGGCAACTGCCCATATTGCACGTATTAAACACCACAACTGTGTTTGCTTCACAACAAAAACATGGCAAAGGAATTAGAAGAGCTCTTTGGTTATTAAACATCATGAGATGGTTATTGCACAAAACCTTGTTAATAGACTTATTATAGGGCATCTTTTCTCTATGTGGTTTTTTTCTTCGTAATTCGGTTGTCATTCCGCCTTTTTTTTCGCAATTAATTTATAACTTAGGTCCATTTCTATGTAGATCGGGATTATCTGTGTAGTAACCAACACCTGGATTGGATTTCTTGTCAGTTACCTTTTTTGAAATATATTTTCACTGGGAAAAAAATTATGTTGATCAATATTTTTCCCCTTGATGCTTAAACAAAAACATCTACAGCATTTAAAACAGATATGTTAAAATATAAAGCTATAAATATCACTATCAAATTACTTCTACTTATGTGTTGTATACACTGATAATCTAAGTGTAAATGAGTCAAGATATGTAAAATAATGTGCATTACAAAGCAAATTTTGGAATTTTAATTAAAAAAAAACATAACGCAGGTTAACGGACATGGTTTGTCCTTTTTAAAGAGTATGTCTCATTTTTTTTTAAAGCTTAGCATAAAAATTACATTACACCTAATTAACATTGCATTTTATTTGAGTCCAGTGAATACTGGAATATTTGTGTCCTGCGTTTTACTCTAAATATAAAGAACATTTTTAAAAGTTTTAATTTTTTTTATCTAATGATCATCCACGGTGTTCAAATGCCTAACATATCCTGTGCTAAGATTAGTAAGAAACTTTCATTAGAAACCAAAACTGCACTGGGGGCAGGTCAGAAAATGTCAGTGTAAACCAGTTTAATTCTGCAGAATTTCTTATTTTATCTTTTTAATACAGCCACAGGCATCCTTAGTTTTTTTTCCCCCCTGGTAAATGTGGTTTTAACATCCTGGTTAAAATCCTCTGACTGCTCCTAGATAGGGGCTATTTGTCAGAACCAAAAAAAAAAAACTGGGCCAAATCTCCTTTTATGATGATGTATTTATTTCTATTTGTGTATAGCATTTATTTCTGTAAGTGCCTTATATAATAAAAGTCTAAAGGTTAAACTATTGTAGCTGCACAGACACAACTTTCCCACCAGTCAGTAAAAACAGTTCATTCAGAAATACTGCAAAAACTCTACTGATAGGGTTTTTAAGGTTTAAAAACATAGATAATGATTATTAGAACAATGTGAAAATATTACTTTTTTAATGCAGCTGTTCATTTTTGGGATCTGAAATGTATTTTGGGTAATAAATGCTGACAAACTCATTCTAAGCTGATTGCTGCAGACTGTGCAGGGTGAAGTTCACTGTAGAAAATAAGGAATGGAAACTTTAACATGTCAGGACTTTAAACCGAGTGAACGGAAAGCTAAAGAACAGAATGAATGATTCAGATGGCCAAATAAAAAAAAGTCCCCATTTCCTCAACAGATCCTGCTAGACAAAAATCCCATAACGTCATCCTTCACAATATTTCTGGTTTGCCAGCACATAATTTAGTAGAACAGTTCTTTTTTTGTGTGTCCTTCTTCAGGCGCCCCTCCTGTTTGAAGCACTGAGTATGACTGGAGGAGGCTGGATGTTCAGCTCCTGTCTGAGGTCCTCCAATCTCTGTTCCCATCGCCTCTCATAAAAGATGCTGAGGACACAGCGGGCCCGCCTGCCGTTCTGCAGGGCCCAGGGACCCAAGGATGTGAAGAGTGATTGTAGACGACTGAAAAAGGGAGACAGAATAGTAGTTAAAAGCAGCTCAGACAGCCCCTTTATTAATTCAAACAACACTAACCCTGATTGACAAAGACAGGAAATGACAGTTGATGAATGGGGAACATTTGAACAGTTTACTGGCAAAGAGATGGTTCAGTGATATTACTTCTTTACAGTTTTAGTGTTAACATTTTCTCATATATTTACATGTAGTTTTGACCTTTAGCCAAACCCCACACACAACCAACCAAAATGATGGAAATCTGAAACCTGTGGGAGGACAAAATGTACTATAGGAAATGTAATAATCTCCCTTTTTTCTTAGTGGCGAGCGCTGGGCGCCCACTCTCTACTGGCTGCAGGTCCATGAAAATAACAGAAAATATGTTCAACTGACATGTTATCATTTTTTCCGATGATTGTAGGTCGTACTTTTAAAAGCCACCCGGGGAAACTCCCCGCGTGTTCCAAAAACTGATGATCTAAAAAAAAAAAAAACGATTAAAATGTATATCATTTATCAGGTTGTTCTTAACCGACGTTGATTGTTACTGTGATCCACATTCTTCCTCATGCTATCACACATAAATCCCAGTTAGCATATTTTAGCAAATATTTGTATAAGTTAATTCTACAGCTCCCATCCTTCCTAATGATATTTTACTGCTAATACAGATTTAGACTCAAGTTTTATGTTTATGTTTTAAAAAAAGTCAATATCATTACATATATTTGTATTTGCTTATAATAGTTACATGTTTGACTGACTGGTCGCCTGTCATGCATGGCCTGGAAAAAAGTGTTAATAATCCTTCTTCACTAAACTAACATTAACTGGACATGACCTTGAAGGCATCATTATTAGAAGTCAGGGTAGGAGCTGCACCATGATGTGGGGATTTCCCTAACTGGTAACAGTAAACTAATTAGGAGATGAGAAGGTGTGGAAATTGAGGGAAGAATGCATGTCTGAATGTATAGAATGCAATTCAGCGTATGCATGCAGTCAGAGGGCAAAGGTTTAAATCTAAGCAATGCAGCGTTAGAATGGCCCAGTCAAAGCCCAGATCTCAATTAAAGACGACATTTATGGGAAGTCTTGAAAACAAATAAAGTTTGTGCTATTTTACAGAGTCGAATTGCAGTCTTTAGGTGTTTAAAGCTAAAAGAGAGATTTCCCAAAGATTTGGTAGATTTACAAATTAAGAACTGACTGGAATTTCAATTTTTACACAACCCCAAGGTTTCCCTTTTCCACTTCCCAAATGAGTGCTCCTTTGTCTGAAATTTTTGGTTGTTTCATAATAAATGTGAAAAAGTCAAGAGATTTGGATACTTCTAAGGCAAAAGGTCCGTTTTCTCATTTATGCCAAACGTATTTTTTAACACTGGAGTACGAAAGCATGATCTCCTACAAGCTGGGCTGGCCTGAAAGTTACACTACATTTATAAAAATAGTCATTTTATATACAACAGTTTCAAACAACAAAATAATCTCAGAGCCGGTTATATTTAAGCACCTTGCATTCAACCGAAGAGGCCCCAGCAAAGCTCCCAAAGCACACATGGGGAGCCCAGTCTGAGCAGCTTCAAACCATTTCACCGCCACCTCACCTGGAACCAGGAGGAAGAGATGGAAAAATAAAAAAAAGAGAGAATTAAAAGACAGTTAAGAGTAAACATTGGTTAAAACCAGCCTAAAGTATAAAAAGGTAAACAAAAGTTTCTGCTTTGGATATGAACATTAATTCTCATGAAGGTCATGTCGATTTTTAGTCAATGATCTGTTTCACAGAAAACTAGAACTTTGAATGACCATTTTTAAAGAAATATTCAGTTTAATAACTAAAGAAAATGCAGAACTGGCCTGTGGCCCAGTTACCAATCTGCAGTAATCAAACAAAAGCTGGATACATCATCAACATTGATGAGTGAAAATTTAAGCCGTGCACAGATCAGTTTCACATGCTGCTGTGAGATATATTTCTATATCCAGCATGACTCACCCAGCATGTTGGTAGGCATGCCCAGTAAAGTGTGCAACAAGTCATGGACCTCTCTGTATCTCAGCATGATGTAAGCTAGCTCCTCGTTGTCCACAAACTTCACCTCCGCTCTAGAGTCAGGCGTCACTTTCTGTCGCAGTTGCAAAAGCAAAAGGACATCATGTCCCATCAAAAATGGAGCAAAGAGGCAACAGGCTTTGATCGGTAAAAGAGTCTAAATTTAAAGATGTTAAGTAATTAGGTATTTTTTTAATCGAGTAAAAACGTACATTATCCTCCAGGAATCTGAGATACTCTCGGCCAAACGTCCCATCAGGTAGGGTGGCCATCTTTTCCAGATCGAGGGTGGACAGACGGATCCTCGGCCTCTCTCTGCAGCACCGTTTCGTTACAAAGAAAAAACAAGTTAAATGGATATATAAAGTAAATAGTATTCCTATAATAAGGAAATGCTGGTCATTTAATCTTATTCTCTGTCTTTTTATTGTATAAAATAAATGTCTGATAAAGAATCTTTGTACTATACCTGCCTTGACTATGTTTAACAGTTAAAAAGTTCAAATTATTTTTAACAACACATTTATAATTTATGCAAAATAGATGTGCTTAAGGGATATAGTCATTTATCATCTGCTACATTTCCATCTGTTTCTACAGGTCCTTCTCAAAATATTAGCATATTGTGATAAAGTTCATTATTTTCCATAATGTAATGATAAAAATTCAACATTCATATATTTTAGATTCATTACACACTTTGCATATCATTAAAAAGGTCTCTAAATGAGCTATGCACCTAATCATCTCAATCAACAAATTAACTCTAAACACCTGCAAAAGATTCCTGAGGACTTTAAAACTCCCAGCTTGGTTCATCACATAAAACCCCAATCATGGGTAAGACTGACAACCTGACTGCTGTCCAGAAGGCCATCATTGACACCCTCAAGCAAGAGGGTTTGACACAGAAAGATGTTTCTGAACGAATAGGCTGTTCCTAGAGTGTTGTATCAAGGCACCTCAGTGGGAAGTCTGTGGGAAGGAAAAAGTGTGGCAGAAAACGCTGCACAACGAGAAGAGGTGACCGAACCCTGAGGAAGATTGTGGAGAAGGGCCGATTCCAGACCTATGGTGACCTGCGGAAGCAGTGGACTGAGTCTGGAGTAGAAACATCCAGAGCCACCGTGCACAGTCGTGTGCAGGAAATGGGCTACAGGTACTGCACTCCCCAGGTCAAGCCACTTTTGAACCAGAAACAGCGGCAGAGGTGCCTGACGGGGGCTACAGAGAAGCAGCACTGGACTGTTGCTCAGTTTTGCATGTCATTTGGAAATCAAGGTGCCAGAGTCTGGAGGAAGACTGGGGAGAAGGAAATGCCAAAATGCCAGAAGTCCAGTGTCAAGTACCCACAGTCAGTGATGGTCTGGGGTGCCATGTCAGCTGCTGGTGTTGGTCCACTGAGTTTTATCAAGGGCAGAGTCAATGCAGCTACCTATCAGGAGATTTTGGAGCACTTCATGCTTGCATCTGCTGAAAGGCTTTATGGAGATGAAGATTTCATTTTTCAGCACGACCAGGCACCTTCTCACAGTGCCAAAACCACTGGTAAATGGTTTGTTGACCATGGTATCACTGTGCTAAATTGGCCTGCCAACTCTCCTGATCTGAACCCCATAGAGAATCTGTGGAATATTAAAAGTTGAGAGATGCGAGACCCAACACTGTGGATGAGCTAAAGGCTGCTATCGAAGCATCCTGGGCCTCCATACGACCTTAGCAGTTCCACAGGCTGATTGCCTCCATGCCACGCCGCATTGAAGCAGTCATTTCTGCAAAAGGATTCCCGACCAAGTATTGAGTGCATAACTGTACATAATTATTTGAAGGTTGAGTTTTTTTGTATTAAGAACACTTTTCTTTTATTTGGTCGGATGAAATTTGCTAATTGTGTGAGATAGGAATTTGGTTTTCATGAGCTGGATGTCAGAATCATCCGTATTAAGACAATAAAAGAACTGAAATATTTCAGTTAGTCTTATCATTACATTATGGAAAACAATGAACTTTATCACAATATGCTAATATTTTTAGAAGGACCTGTAGTTGGGTCGGAATCACAATCGCCCTTTAAAGAGTAACGATTAAGTCTCTGGTTAAGAAACAGGAGAAGAAAATGGACCAAAATGGGGGTTTGAACTGGCAGAATGGTAAAGTGACCAGAACAATAATATATAGGGTAAATAGTTCCCAGTCTAACCAAGTGTAACTCACGTCAGGATGGTGTAACCCTCAGGGTCATTTTTCATCCGGTCCCTGAGGTTTATAAGTGCTAAATGTCCTGTAGTCTCTCCCAGCACAGCAACCATGTCTGTGAAGTTTAGCCCAGAGGTTAGATTTTAATATCAGTTTTAATTGAATAATAGAAACACATTTTTAGTCATAATACCACCCAAGCAGCTTAATGACCGTACAACAGCTCAGCTATTCTTCTTCTGTGCCTTTTAGGTATTTTCTGTTAAACCTGAGAAGTTGCCTCAAAGCATGATGCCATCTGGGACATTTGAGCTTTTTTTAAACCCAGAAGGAAACAATGAACAAAGATCCCAGAGATATGGATACTGGAAGCCAGAGACAGCTCTTATACAGAAACCTGTGGGCAAATCCTGAGATTAAATGTCAGCTAACAGGTGTCCCGAAACGCTCCACCCCGTGAACATTTGGCCATTTTGAATCCGTTTCTATTCCCGCAAACACGTCTACATGGCTTTAATTAGAAGCATGCTTCAAAAATGAGAAACTGAAGTGCAATTTCAGAGAGATAGGTGGTTTCATAGATGAAGAAAATAGGAAGTGAAATTTATTTACCATCAAACTCATTGAATGACCAAAAACTAAGCAGCGGAAATAAATCAAAGGGAAAAAAATGTACTGTAAAACCAGCATTGCCAGTAATAGATTTCACATGTTGGAGTTTTTAATAACTGTTTAGCTAATGTGTGAGGGTTTTTAAATAGAAAAAGAAGAAGAAAAAGAACAGCCTTTTCAAATGTTTTATTGGATTTAGAAAAAAAAAAAAGACATAAGAACGAAAAAAGTCTATTTGGGGGGGAAGAGTTTTAGTTTAAAAAATATTTTATGGACTCAGACCAAATTAAGGATGCAAAGTTTATTTCTAGTAGAAAGAGGAAAAAGAGGGAAATAAACTTTGAATCAATTTAACTGTATGATCTGGTGAACTGTAAAGTGACTTGGGATGACATTTGTTGTGAATTGGCGCTATATATAAATATAAACTGAATGTTTCACACTTGGAGTCAATAACTTTTCCACTTAATGTTGATCAACTGCAGGTGATTTAACTTGGCTGCAATCCAATTTATTTATTTTTTTTCAAAGGCTGTAAAACATTTAGCTTCATCCATGAGATCAGGGTCCCTGTCCCTGGTGGAGAAAATAAAGATTACCTTTTTATTTTAGAGAGACATTGCACAACATGAGATTGAACTTTTCAAATAAAAATGTATTGTTATTTATTGGTTAAAGCAACAAAAAAAAAAAAACCCACCTAAATAAAAGGTTATGGTTAATTAAATTAATTCTGAACTGATGGTACACTATAAAATCTTTCTCATCTCAGTGTTATATTAATAAAACAAGTGAAAACATAACCCTTCAAACAATTAGAAAAAACACTGTTTCACTTTCATACATTCATCACTTACAGGTCAAGTCGTCTATAGATACCTTTTTCAGCCGTCCAAGCATTTAATCATGGTCTCATTTAGCAAGCTTTTCTAGTGAGTTTTGGCACGACGAGAGAAAGCCATTTTATCAGGTGAAGTTCTACTTATTGGGATGCTGTGCTCATCTCTAGAAGTTTATCTGGTGGTTCTACTGATTGTATCTGATCTTACTGTGCAAAACTATGAAGAATTTTAAATATTTGAATCGACTATCCATTTTTTAAAAATAAAAATCAGATTTTTTTTAAAAATATGAAAGAGACTGTCTGGATTTCTTGTTGCGAATCTTTAGAAAATTTTTCTTTTATCAGGAAGTTCGAGTGTCATTGGCAGTATTGTAGCTGCACTTCTAGACTGAGATCTCAGAGCTCCTCTCCCTGGTTGAGGGTCATTGCTGCTAGTGTTCCAGTTACCACAGGGACCACTGTTGGCTCTTCTCTAAGCCCTCGGTATTTCTAGAGCCTCCTATGTTCCTCCTAATGTTGCGGTCACTTTGTCACTCTGCTGGTCCATCACTACTTTGTTAGTTGGGTTGGCCATCACCAGTCTATCTGTCTGTATCTAGGAGTCCTGCAGTCAACCACCAGTGGGGCTGTATCACACCAAGGTAGCTTCATTAACTGATGTTTTTAAATGTTGCAACTGTTTAATATGCTCCAGAATTCAATTAAATTCAAAAATACTTTATTAATCCCAAAGTGAAACTAAATCATGCGACCATTCAGCTGCAGCTACAATTCCAAATTGTTCCAATGAGTGAAAAGGACAGTGTCATCTGCATAAATGATAACATAAGTACCACACACCAAAGCGAGATCCTTGATCTATAGAAGAAAGAGCAGAGGCCCTATAATCAAGCCCTGCAGAACTCCAATGATGCATTCTTTCAATTGGAACAGCGTTTTTTTTATACTCTGACACACTATTTTCTGCCATTTAGATAGAAATTTGTTTGCAAATTTCCACAAGATTGTGACTGTCAGTATCCAAAGCCTTTTACTAACAGATAATAGAAAGTGAACGGAGTTAGAGGCAACTGAGCCATCCTTTGAATAAAGGTAAAATCTTCAGTAAATAACCTTATGTTATTTTCCGTAACATTTTCTTTTCCAAAACATTGCACGTTTTTTTTTTACTTCTTACCTTTCAAAGTAACATCTGAAATTTTATGGTCCAGCTTCTAAAGATTTCAAAATTCAAATTTGAACCTGTTTTCATGATTTTTCTTTAGTCCTACCTCTTCATTTGTTTTCCTAGAGATGGCTATTAAACCAGCTCTAGGAAATTACTTTTTAAAATCTTTATAATCTTCAATACAATATTTTGCAAGGCTGTTGTTAGATCACTGCTTGATAGCTCACATAATTTATTCTTTGTAATGTTATTCCAAATTCTTTTTCTAACTTAGTTTTGCAATAAAGATAAATCCTTCTTTTAAATAAAAGAGACATTTAGAGGATTGTTTAGTTGTTTCTGATCCCTTTATTCGGCTTTATTCAACTTCTTAGCAACTAATGTAAAATTATGATCAAATAAACCGGTACTAAGTTATTTCATTAAAGTTTATTTTTAATGATTAGTCTATGAATATTGGGGAAGATTTTTTTGTAAAAATACCTGCAGCATTGTAGAAAAAGGTACGTGTATTATGTTACATTAAACAAGCCCCTTATCACATTAGATATGTCAGAAAGCAGAAAGAAAATAAGAAAGCATAACAGATGATGAACTTTTACAATAAATTTCCCACCGTGTCTGTAGGGGTCATGGAGAGCCGCCACACCTGATCCAACGGCCAATAGCGCTTTCTGGAAGGCGGTGGTCTGGATGTGTCCGGGGTACAGTCCATCACAATAACTGTGCGTAAATTCAGCACCACTAGTGTGCAGTTGGTGGATGCACAAAGCTGAACCATAGGGGGGAAAATGTTTAAAAATTAACTGAGAAAAATTATATTTCCCTCTGCTCTGACATGTAAAATGTCAACTTTTATCAAATGATCATTCTCCTTTGTTTTTTTTATTAGGTTGCTGCACAAAAGCAATTTTAGCCTTCTGATAGACAGTAGCATATGTTCAAATATAACAGCCTATAAAAATGCTTTAAAGTACTGCTATAAAACTGTATGCTACTAAAATGAATACGGCTGTGACAATTGCAATTTGTATAGTACACTTATCTATATATATTTATATATATGTTAATATGGGATCGTTAAGCGTGCAACTAATATAATGACGGCAAAATTCATTTTCAATATAATTAATTCAATCTAAAATTTAGAAGTTGTACATATTTATATTTAATTGGGAATAGGCAACAATTATTCTGTTTCTAAATTTGCTGATACATTTGTTTTAATTATATATATATATATATATATATATATAT